TGTACAAGGGACTAACCATCCAAGCTGTTTCTTATGTAGAAGGTCTCAATTATAACCTTCTTAGCATAAGTCAGTTTTGTGATAAAGGTTATTCCTTGGAATTCTGCAAGGACATGGCATCTCTCAAGAACATCTCCACAAATGAAGTCATTCTCACTGGGAAGAGAATCAGAAACATCTATGAAGTAATGTGGGATAATGTCAAGGAAGCATGTCTAATCAGCAAAGGTGACGCTGACCTTCTATGGCTTTGGCATAAGAGGTTGAGTCATCTCAACTTCAAAACCCTCAACAAGCTGTCCAAAGAAGGGTTAGTAGAAGGTCTTCCCAAAGCTGTATTCAGGAAGGAAAGCATTTGTGATGCTTGCCAAAAAGGAAAGCAGGTCAAGTCCACCTTCAAAGCAAAATCGGCACCCTCAACTACAAGGATATTAAGTCTTATTCACATGGACTTATTTGGCCCCGTTACACCAATAAGTCTAAGTGGAAAGAAATATGTCCTGGTGGTAGTTGATGATTACTCAAGATACACGTGGACAATCTTCCTCAACGGCAAGAAGGAGACTCAAGGGAAACTCACCAACTGCATGAAGCTGATTCAAAACCAAGCAAGTCAGACCATTCAGAAGATCAGATCTGACAAAGGCACAGAATTCCTGAATGAAATCATCATTCACTACTGTGAAGAAAACGGAATTCTTCATCAGACATCTGCAGCAAGGACACCTCAACAAAATGGTGTAGCTGAAAGAAGGAACAGAACCTTGAAGGAAGCAGTGAGAACCATGTTAGCAGAAGCTTCCTTACCAAAGAGGTTCTGGGCTGAAGCTGTCAACACAGCCTGCTATACTCAAAATAGGAGTATGATCTATAAAAGGCACAACAAAACTCCCTATGAACTATGGAACGGGAGAAAGCCTAATATATCATATTTCCATATTTTGGGAGCAAGTGCTTTGTGTTAAACAACGGGAAGAATCATCTGAACACTTTTGATGAAAAATCAGATGAGGCCATCTTCCTAGGATATTCCATGGTAAGCAAGGCATTTAGGGTCTTCAACAAAAGAACCATGATCACTGAAGAGTCAATACATGTTATTTTTGATGAAAAACATGTGGTTGACAAGCCATCAAAGCATGATCATGAAGTTCTGGATCTATCAGACAAGGGTGAAGAAGCCAATGAAGGAGATAGAATGAAGCCCACGGAATTCATTCCATTCAGAAGTCTGCCTCTGAAGACTTCACAGAGGAATCCAGATTTAGACAGTGCTTGGTATCAAAGCACTTAATCAGTGCTTAGACAGTGCTTAGTTGTAATACATTTGTTTGAAAACAAAATGTATTTCCTGAACTCAATCAAGGCGACCGGAGGGCATAAGCCAATGAAAGTGAAGACTTTCGTCAACGAGTAAGTATTAAGAAATTTATTTCTTATTAATGAAATTATTTATTTCTTAAAATATTTATTTCTTATTGATTTGTTTTTAATGTTTTAAAGGTCTTGGCGGTTACTTCGGGAACGACACATGCCTCAACATAAGGCTCGACCAGATTGGATTGATGTTCCCGAAGTACCCCAACAACTAGGGGGCTCATCATCACTATGTGTGCACAATGTTATTTACTGTTATACGATGTAAGTTTATTTTAGTGTGTTTTTGAAAGTAATGAAGTGTTTATCATCATTTTCTTTTTCATAGATTATTAAACTTTATGTTGTTTGTTGTTTTTGTATTGCAGGTGTTTCAGTCTACTTCGCCCTATACCGTAGCCGAATTAAAAGAGGTTAGAGAGTTTTGGACGGGGGATTTTCTCGATGAACTAGTGTAAGTTTTGTATTGTATTGTATAGTATTAGTTGTATGTTAGAAGAGTGTAGCTGTTTGACTCTTAGTTGTGGTGTTAAAACTTAGTTTGTAAATGTTGATATTTTTTAAGATGTACAAGTGAGGGATGCAAATATTTACTTTTTTGGTTTAATTTGTTTTGTGGCATTTGGATTTTGTGAATGTATTTGTGTTCGTTGTTGGTTTGTATTAGTTGTTGTTGTGTTGATGGGTTGAATTGTTGTTGTTGTTGAATCTGTATATTTTGCACATAATTCTGTGCAAAATTGGCGCTATTTCTGGAAAGAGGCTTTTACATCGGTTGTTACCAAATAACCGATGCAAATGCCCCTTTCCAGAAAGGGCGCCATTTTGGGAAGAAGCTTTTGCATCGGTTTTAACAACCGATGCAAAAAGTAACCTGAGCATTTGCATCGTTGGCTTTTGCATCGGTTCAAAACCGATTTAAAAGGGTAAAAATAACCGATTTAAAAGGTCTTTTTTGTAGTAGTGAATTAGAATATCTGGTCTGATCTGATCTGTTCTACATGTAGTTGTAATTAAAGCTGTTTCTAATTGATCTGGTCAGATCTAATTTGATCTGGTTTCATCCAATCAGATTATAATAAAAACAAGTTATAGATATAAAAAATAATAACTTGAATGGTACTAAGAGCCTGTTCTTTAGGGCTTGAACTCTTAACTTCCAGTTTTCTATTTCCTTCCAATTTCTTCCAATTCATTTGAGTTTCTTCAATTTCCTTCCTGTTTCTTCCAGTTTCTTCCAACTATTCTCAATTTCTTCAAACTATTTCTACTCCCCAACCAGTTACTCTAAAAACGATATATTTTTAATGTGATTATTATTATTATTATTATTATTATTATTATTATTATTATTATTATTATTACAACTGTTATGTCCATAACTATAGTTTATAAATTATTTTTTCATCTCACTATTTTTACGATTCATACTCATTATTTTTTTCTTCAACTTTTTAATATGAATAAGACAATCTTTTTTATATTAATCTACATGATAAAACAGTAAAACATCAATATGTTAAATTATATTAAAAAATTATGGATAAAATAGTGACATAGAATGTTTTATTAATCTAACTTTATATAAGACCTCTCACCTTTCTTTTTATTACTTAAAATTTTCTAATTTTTCTAATTTTTATAAAAAAATTGAAAGCCTAAATAGTTTATAAAAAAATACTAAAATAGGAGTAAGACATAAAAAATGTAAAAAAAAAAGTTCTATGTCCTTATTCCAAAAATAGAACTTTAATGAAAATAAAATGTCAATCATGAAAGAAAATATATGTTTGATTACATTATGTGAAATGTCTGATATTTAAAACAAAATCTTGTACTCCCTCCTCCTATATCTTTCTTCCCGTTGTGCAAAATGAAGAAAAACCTCAACTTTTTTCAATCTATTTTATTTAAATATTGGTATTGAAATAAAAAATAAAACATACATATTTAAAAACTACATCAAAAGTTCAACAAAACAAGTGGTGACAAGAATATTTTATTTTATCATATAGGCCATGAAAAAACACAAATAAATATAAATTCCTGTGAAGTTGGAATAGTGCTTTGGGAAGAAAGTTTTAGGACGGAGGGAGTAATATATAAGGTATAATTACAAATATATTATTTATAATAAATATTACATAAATAAATTGAGGTGCAACATAACAATAAAAACTTTTTAAAATTTAATATTTTTTTTATTTATGCTAACTTTATATTATAATTATTTTTTTGTATTAGGTATAAAATTTAATATTTTTTTTATTTATGCCAACTTTAAAATTTAATATTTTTTATTTATGCTAACTTTTTGTATTTGAAAAATATTTTTTTGTATCTTAAAGACATTCATTAAGATAACATGATGATAATGATGATGATTATGATGATGATGATGATAATAATAATAATAATAATGATAATAATAATAATAAATTATAACAACAAGAATTTACCATAAATTTTTTAAAGTTTTTTTAGGATTTCTAATTTTTTGAAGTTTTTCCAGTTTCTTATAGTTTTTTCAGTTTCTTTTAATTTCTTCCAATTCTTTTTAGATTTTTCCAGTTTATTCTAGTTTCTTCCAGTTTTTCCAATTCATTCTAGTTTTTCTATTTTATTACTGTAATAACATCCGGAAAGAATATTATCTAAGCCAGTACAAAAATGTAGAAGTGGGGGTAATAATATTTTCTTTTCCAACGCCGCCGCCTGCTCCCGAAACCCTATCGGTTTTTAAACCCTGCATCTCAGGAATTAATACCTTTGCACCACGAACAGCAACAAATCTTGCTAGACAAACGGCATCTCAAGATGGGTATACCTAGCTTCTACCGATGGGTGCTCGATAGGTACCCTCGTTGCGTTGAGGTGGCTGTAGAGGAAACTCCCACCGTCGTCAACGGCGTTACCGTTCCAATTGGTATCACCGCACCGAACCCTAATCGCTATGAATTCGATAATTTATATCTCGACATGAATGGGATTGTACACCCTTGTTTTCATCCAGAAGGCTTGGTAAATACACACATAGGCATACTTATCCTCGCTTTCCTCTTGATTAGTTCTTGTTTTCATATTCACAAGAGTGTTTTGGTGTTGGTAGCCTCCCCCAGAGACCTATGATGCAGTGTTTATGGCGGTATTTAAGTATATTGATAAGATCGTTACGGTCATCAGACCTCGGAAGCTTTTATTTATGGCTATTGGTTAGTGATCTTTTTTATTTCATTTATGACAATACGCTTTGATTATTAGAAGTAGCAGCTATGTGACCAAATTACCCAAAGTAGGTTGGCCTTGCTGGTGTTTCTTTGTTTTGGAGTTTGTTTAATCTGAAGCTGCAAACTTTAGCATTTTGTTCATCTTCTTGCATTTTTCTTTTAAGTTCGCAGATTTTCTCAACATTTGTTTGAAACCATATACTATGTTTTAGAACATTCTTTGTATGTATCATAATGACACCGAGAACTTTTTTGTTTTGATATGCCTCCAGATGGAGTTGCGCCACGAGCCAAAATGAATCAGCAGCGGGCAAGGCGTTTTAGAGCTGCTAAAGATGCAGCTGATGCGGTAAGTGTTACAGGATATCATTTTTTAAAAGACCATCTACAAGTAATTTTCTTGTATAAAAAGATTGAAAGTTGTTTTACTATCAGGCTTCTGGAATAGAAAATATGAAGGGGTCCAATGGGGAAAATTTGGATGCAAGAAGACTGGATTCTAATGTAATCACACCTGGAACTGAATTCATGGCTATGTTGTCGTCTGCGCTACAATACTATGTAAGGATAAGGATGAATGAGGATCCAGGATGGCAGGGAATCAAGGTTGTAGTTTTATTTTGGCAACTTATGCAATTGCTGTGTTTCTTTGTTATTGTAAAGAACTCTTCTATTTCCTGAAATTTGTTCTGTTATCATGGCATTATATTCTTCAGGTTATTCTCTCTGATGCTACTGTTCCTGGTGAAGGAGAGCATAAGATAGTGTCGTACATTCGTTTGCAAAGGAATCTGCCTGGGTTTGATCCTAATACAAGGCATTGCTTGTATGGATTGGTAAAATTGATGCCTAGTTTTAACTCCCTCCCAAACATATTTGTGTCTAGTTCTTTGTATTAATGTATTATATAAATTATATAAATTTGCTTACTATTATATGTCTAATATATGAGTTGCTGTTGTAGGACGCAGACCTGATCATGCTTGCGCTGGCTACCCATGAAGTTCACTTCACAGTTCTAAGAGAGGTACACATTATGTCGGCTTTTCAATGGTACGGTTGTGCAGGGAATACTATCAAAGTCGTTGGAGTTCAATAATACCTTGATATGGGCTAATGTAGGATGTCCGCAAAGCAGAGTCCAATAATAGGCATTTAAAATATGTGAAGCCCTTCCATGGTTCACAATTTGGCGAGGAGTTTGAAAAGTTCATATCAGAACAGAAGTTTCAGGTTTGTAAATCTTCCTTTTCACTTCCTTTTTCCTACTACTATGGATCTTTTAACTGTGTGTGTATGTGTATTATATCCTTGAATCTGAAACATCTCTCATTTTCCAGCTTTTCAGAATATGGGTACTCAGGGGCTATCTAGCTCACGATTTACAAATACCCGATTCTGCATTTAAGATAGACCTAGAACGAGCAATAGATGATTTTGTATTCATGTGTTTATTTGTTGGGAATGATTTTTTACCACACATGCCTTCATTGGAAATATCCGAGGTTTGCCTTCTCTTAGTTCTAGTTAGTGTTGCTCATTTATGGTTCTTTGATTTAGAATATCTACTTTTCCCTAACCTCCTTCGTATGGTTTTATTTAGGGGGCAATTGACTTGCTAATAAATGTTTACAAGAAGGAATTTGTCCAAATGGGTGGTTACCTCACTAATTCTGTCAAGGTATATTTGTCAAATTTGTCAAGTAGCCTACTAACTCTTCTAGGTAGTTTGTCTTTCATCTATATGATATTTTTCATACTTATCTAAGAGATAGTGATTTCGGCAACTTTTTGCTCATGGCTCGTACAGGTTAATTTGAAAAGGGTGGAACATTTTATACAAGCTGTTGGTTCGTATGAGAATATAATTTTCAGAAAGCGTATACAGGTTTTATTTATTTGAATTTGTAGAGTTATTGAAGCATTACAAAGTTGTTGGTCCAAGCAAATGCAATACAATTAATGCATGATCTAGTGAACTCCACTTCCATATTTTGAACAATTTGATTGATTCAGGAAAAAAAGAAATGGGGGAGGTCAATGCAACATCGTTCAACTAATGTGAGTATGATGCTGTGTTATCATTCAACTCGATTGTGAATTGTTGGTGAATAAAGGACTTGTAATTGAATTTTAAATTGAATATCATGTAATTGCTGTCTAATTAGTCAGATCCTAAATGGAATCCAAATAAAAGCCCTGCAAATTACAAAGCTGTTGTGGAGCATGACAAGGTCTGTTGATCACTAGTTTTATTTGCTAGTTATTTTGAGAATCATTTTGTTTTGCTTTTTTGACAATTTTCTAACATGTAACTCCAAATCTCACAATTTCAGATTAAATTAGGGGAAGACGGATGGAAAGAAAGATATTATACTGAGAAGTTTGGGGTTGAAACTGTGGAAGACTGTGAGATTGTTCGTAGGAATACAGTAAGGGGTTGTCTTATCACACTGCATTCAAGTGTTACGGAACCACCGGATCCCGATCCACTAGCTAGCAATATTGTGTTTAGTTGATACTCCTTGTCAAATGATTTTCTTATTACTGTATTAGTTACAGCTTACACTCTAGGAATGCACGGATGTGGCTTTATATTATTTTATATCTGAGTTTTAATTGCAATAGCCCTTGGCTATGTTAGACATCCCTCTTTATACTATTCTTCTACTTATAATTACTACCAAAAGCTTTTTGAAAGTAGTGCTTGGTTTTACGTCGTAAATAAAAAATCATACGAGTATATAGCTGCTGCATCTCATACTTAGATCAGATGCAAACTGAGCATCTCATAATCAATGATTAGATCCTCTTCATGTTTCCTTATAACAGCTTTATATGTACACAGGCTTTGAAATATGCTGAAGGGATATGCTGGGTGATGCATTATTACTACCAAGGAGTCTGCTCATGGCAATGGTGTGCCTCCTAAACAATTCCAACTTGCTCTATCTTAAGAAGATGGATTTACTATTAATTAACTTTTATTCTCATCATTTCTTTACTCAACCTGAATTATTACGTTGCAGGTTTTATCCTTACCACTATGCTCCCTTTGCATCTGATTTTCATGGGTTTGATAAGCTTGATACCACTTTCACACTAGGAAAGCCATTCAAGCCTCTTGATCAGTTGATGGGTGTCCTTCCTGCGGCAAGGTCTGGACTAATTTGTACTTGTTTAGTCTTTTTAGATTTTTATTAATTATAATGTTAATGTCCATAAAAGTGGATGATACTCTAACAAAAACTGTGTTGCATATAGTGCACAGGCACTTCCTCTTTCATACATGAAGTTAATGACAGATCCACTATCCCCTATTTTGGACTTTTACCCGGCTGGTAGGATGAACTCTACCATTTTTAATTTGTTGTTTATTTGTTTCTATGAAGTTTATGATTCTTTATTCATGGCAGATTTTGAGCTTGACATCAATGGGAAAAGGCATTCATGGCAGGTGCGGTATTTCAATCATATCCTCAGCTCAGGGATGTCCCTGTTAAACTAGTTTTCATGCGATATTGATTGTGAGTGCTGTATGACCATTGGTCCTATCTTGCATTAATTGACTGCCTCATTTTCCTCCAATTTGCAGGCTGTATGTAAATTACCATTTATTGAGGAATACCGTCTTCTCTCAGAGATATCAAAATTAGAGAACACATTGACGGTTGTTATTGCTACTAAGCTTTATAAATTGTCATTTTAACAACTATTTCATAAATCATCATTTTTATACTAATCATTTTTGGGTCAGATAAACTCATAAATCTTAACTGTCTTTGTTATCTAGGACGAGGAAAAGAAGCGGAACATTCTCGGACTCGATATGCTTTTTGTTCATAGATCATATCCTTTAGCTGGAAGGGTCTTATCATTCTATCACCGAAATGAGAACAATCCAATGTTGATGAAGACAAAAGTGAAAAGGAAAATCAACCCTAACTTCAGGTGCGGGATATGTTTTTAGTGTTGCAACTTTTAGCTGAAATTCAATCTTTTCACGTTTATGTTTTGGGACAACAGAAAAAAGCTTGCAGTGATTCATATGCACATAGTTAAAGAGATTCATCCTCTTGGCAATATTATGCACCTATGTTTAAAGTTCTAACTCCTGATGAGATTATTCTGATATCTTCAAAATTTTTGTATTTTGAAGCCCCCGATAACAATGTCGGAGGCAATGCAATTTTTCTAAAATTTTAGGGGAAATTCAGAATATATAAAGAAACCTTGGAAAAGTATTGATGGATCTCAAGATCCAATCCAGAAAATAAGAATAAAAAAATATATTTCACAATATGCTGTGTATTGAATAATTTCAAATCCCCCTGCCTTAAAAGAGAGGGTCTATTTATACATATCATGGGGGGGGGGGACAAATTAGGTAACCAAATTGTAGAAGGAATAGGATCTCAATTCTTATTCTCGCCCCCCACTCCTTATGTTTCCTATCACAACACAATTCTCTTTAATCTAGAAGATTCTCATAGGCATAAGCCCTTTCAATATTCGGCCCACTCTCGCTCCCCTTATGCATCTCGGTATGCTTTGCAGGATTTTGGGCTTGGGCCAATCAGGCCCACTCATTCAATTCGTGGTGGACCCGATCTCCATCAAATATCTTAACAATTTGATAAATATTCGCTATCTGCTTATTTTTATGAAAAAAAGAAACTTGCGACATGTAGTTTTGGTTTTCAATTTTTTTCAATAATCAACATTTTTATTGAAGCATCCCTCCTTTTTTTCCCATAAATTCAAAGGACTGATATTTCCACATGTATCGATATTTTTACCTTGGTTATAACATTTTCACAGATGTATGATGTAAATGGTACTCCATGCTCATTAAATCTTTATATATACAAAACTAATGTGTAAACGATGAACAATGAAAATTCCCGCATAATTGTTATGGGCTCGGGTTGGAAATGGGCAGAGAAATGGGGGAACACGCTTGATGGGGGAAGATCACTTTATAGAGAATTGTGATATTAATTACTTTGCACGGGAGTGTGTGATGGTGGCTTGGCTTCGGTTAGTGTGTTTATTAATGGGGAAGAGAAATGGGTGATGCTGGTCGGAAAATGAAAAAAAACATTATGGAGCAATGTGATATTAATTATGGGTCTTGAAACAGGCTACTATATGGGAAAAGGCCATTTTATGGAAGAAGGTGATATCATAATTATTTTGTATAGGGGAATGTGTGAAGGTGGCTTAGCTTTGGGTATTGTAAAACGCCATGTGGCCCATTTTATTGGAAGTTGTGATGCCATTATAGCTTTTGAATTGGGGGGAGTATATTGGCGGCTTGCATGCGGGGTAGTGTAATGGTGGCTTGGAGAGCTGAATATATCCACCTTTTGAGGCATGGGTATAATTACACAAAATTATTAAATCTTTATATTCCTGTGCAAATATTTTAGATTGCACATCCCAACTATTTTAAACACTAAAAATACATGTTCCCAAAAATTACATTATCAGATCCACACTATTTCATTTTATTTTTTTGTTTATCAACTTTGATGCACTATAAACAAAAATGTTCTAGCAACACTTGGTAACGCAGCTTCTTTTACTTTTTTTGTTTTTTTCATTGGTGTTTGTTGCTCCTGCATTTTTTAATTTTTTCTTTGCTTCATTTTTATTCTTCAGTTCTTAATATTTAGTTTTAAATTTTTTAAAAATTTATTTTTATAATTTTTTTTTAATTTTTAAGTTTTTTAAATTTTAATTATTTTTTCATGATGTCCTTTGACATAAGAGAATAATATCCTTGAATTTTTTACAAATTTAATTATATTTTATACAAATTCAAATAATTAGATGTCATGTTAATTTCGTATTTAGTTCTATTTGAATTTAAATTTATACATTAATTCTATTAAATTTGTATTCTTTATATTTTAGATAAATGATTGGACGTGCAACGCACGGGTACAAAATCTAGTAATACTCAATCGTGAAAAGAATGTAACACTTTCCTTATTGGCTTGTTCTAAACTTCACACCTTTACTTCCCTGTTAGGGTCCAGTTTGAAGAGGGGAAAATGACTCTTGGAAGTCATTTTCCCCATTTCTGGTCTTTAGTGAATTTGAAAAATGGTCAATGGAAAATGAAGTAGTCAATATCTGGAAAATGAGGGCTAATTAGCGGAAATTGACTTTTGCCTTTTATTCCAGAAGTCGTTTTCCACTTCCTTCCGTGCAATACTTTCTCTTATTCTTTGCCATGGCTTTCTTCTTCTTCTTCTCCATCCATCTTCATCAATTTCTTCTTCTTCTTCTTCAATCTCTCCATCACTTCTGCTTCTTCATCCATCTCCATTGCCAAACTTTTCTTCCATCTCTCCATTCCCAGATTGGGTTCAATCAAAGTCTGCAAGTGAGGAGCTCCGGTGCAATCCCTCTCCCTCTCTGAAATCATGTTTTATTGGAGAAAGCTGGATTTGGTTGATGATGATGATATTCAGTTGGTGAAGTGTTTGAAGAAGTCCCAATCCTTAGTCTGCTTTGATCATCATCACTTGATTTTATAGTGCTTATTAGAGTTTGTTGTTCTTGCTTGTTACATGATCTTTCTTCTCTAATTCAAGGAAAGGTGTAGTTGATTAGTTTTCAAGGCCAAATTACACTTTATTAATTCAATAATCATCATAGAGTTCATTTGATCATCAAAAAATGAGATGTTGAGGATTTGGTTGCAACATTTGCCGCTATTTTCAAGAGATTTTTCTTAGTCCTTCACATTTAGCCAATGTTTATGTTTCCGGAACACACATAGAACCAGTGACCTTACTGGTTATCATGTCTGGCCATTCTGGTCCCATTTAAAGAACATTTTCATTCAGCACAATAATGCCTTGCAATCTGCAGCCATGTTATGCACACTGCACCAATGCAATTTATGGATTGTAGTGCTGCAATTTTTATTGTGGCATCATTGGACAGAAACTTCATGAATTGTCCTCCTTTGCTCTCTGACTTTTTTTGGTTTTTTAAAGGTTAAATACCTAAATAGGAACAAGACATTGTCATAAAACTTAAATAAGAGCTCAACTTTTTTTATACCATACCTAATAAATGGGAATAAACATTGACAATGCCACATTGAACATTGACGGACTTGGGCAATGAGCATTGACACAGTGAGCTCCATGTCATTGCTGTCCGCCGTTGTCTAGCACTGCCCACTGCTGGATTCCAGCAACAGCGTGAGTCATTACTATTGATGTTGATGTTGATGTTATTTTTATTGCTATTGATGATGATGATGATGTTGTTGTTATTATTATTATTAGTATTATTATTATTATTCTATGTAGTTCTTTACCTCAACAGAGTTGCGATTATGATGTGTTTGTATTGTTGTTGTAATTGTTTTGTAATTGTTGTTATTTTTATTTTTATTTTTATTGATATTGTCAATTTTCAAAATTGCATATTGCGGTTTTGAGGTGTTTTTATGTCAAGGCGTATTGAGGTGTAAGCCTCAAATTTTGAAGTTCAAAAGTCTGTATATAACATTTTAAGCAATCTGTTTAGCTAAAAAAACAAAACTAAAAATTAATGTACGTACAGTTTCAAGTTTGAATGACAAATTAACAACATTAAAAATAAAAAACCTTAAGTTAATGACAATTCGTTAGAATAAGTTGCTAACATTAAACAAATATACATGGGTAAAAACAAATGGAGCAAAAAAAATTAAGTATCCTGGATGCCGATCAGATAAGGGGATAAAGTCAATGCTACGTAAACCTCAAAAAAATACTATATAAAAATCAACAAGAATGTGAGAAGTGATAAGGCAGATGATGATGCCCTACGAATAATTAAAAAATCAACAATAGTAAAAATACTCCAGAAAACTTACCTGACAGAGAATGAAGGCGATAGAAGAGTAGAGGTGCAGAACAATCACAGAAGATAGATGATACAAATAGGAGAGGTGATCTACTAGGGTTAAGGCTTTATTATGTAATTTAGATTTTGAGTTTTTTCATTAATTTACTTATTTAACCCCATCTTAATTTTTTGGGAAGAGAAATTGCATATGCCTCGAAAAGCATCTGCCATGGCCTGCAGTATTTGCGCAATATCTCCTATACCCTTGTTGCGTAATGGCTATATCACCATAGGATGTAATTTTTCAGAAATATCCATGAGGCACGCCATATGGCGGGTTAAGCCATGCCATTTCGAACAGTGGTTATTGTTATTGTTATTGGTATTGTTACTGTTATTTTTATTGTTATCGATATCGTTATTGTTCCCTGTCATCATCATCATCATTTTTACTATTATATTTGCAGCCTTGAATGCTTGTTAGGTTTCTAACTTCGAGGCGACATTTTTTTCTTAATTATTTCTTATTACTATTGCAGCCATGGAATGAATGGATACATTTATATTTCTGACAAGCCTGTATGTCCTAAGAAGATAAAATCACCAATCAATGGCATAGTAGACTTGATAAGAAACAACAAAGTAATGTATGTGTTCCCCTTACTAGAGATATTGCTTCTAACGTGAAAAGTTGTGAACCAGCTTGGATGGCTGATGTATTTTATTACACTTATTATTCTCTTCTATAGATGTGTGTTTTATAAAGTCCCTGCCTTTCATCCTCACATTACCAGACTGCCAGACGGAGTAGTTTTACCTGTTGAGGTACACAACTTTTTGTTGGATTTGCTTTCTCTCTATTCTGATTTTTGTTGGTTTGAATGTCAACGTCTCTCCTCCTAATTCGTAAGTTAAAAAAATCTCTCTCTCTCTCTCTCTGTTTGTGTGTGTGTGTGTATTCCAATCATGTTGTTGTTGTTGTTGTAGGCTATCAAAGAGCATGATGTCTTGCCGCCCCCAATGTTGTGGCATGAAATAACTGCTATTACCAGACAGAGACACACCAGAAGGTTGGATATTTTCATTAACATTTGCATTATGATGTATAGTTTCAACATGGAATCATTCTTTTGAACCCTAATACCTCTCTTTGGCAAAACCATAATAGGCCTATTCCTCCGAAGTCTATATCAGGGCCTCGTTTGGAAATGTTTGCTCATCGCCTTGTGAAAAAACTTGTTTTGAAGAAGCAAGAAAATGGGGTTCCCGAGGCAGTTCTAGAAGCACTTTTGACAACCAAGACTAGTCATGACAATGAAATCCCTGATGATGCCTGCAAGAAGAGGAAGCGTTCCAGTATGAAAATAAAGAATCTTAAGAAAAAAAATAAAAAAAATAGGATTCACGAGGCAGTGAAAACACCTCTGACAATCCAGACATGTTCTCACAATGAAATCCTTGATGATGACCATCATCATGTCTCAGAAAATGTTGTTGTGAAGAATCAACGAGAAATTGAGGTTCACGAATCAGTGCAAACATCTTCTTTGACAAACCAGACATCTCCTGGCAGTGAAATCCTTGGTGATGCATGCCGGAAGATGAAGTGTTCCACAGTTGAAAGAAAGGAGAAATGCAAGACTAAAAAACAAAAAGTTGGGGTTCAGAATGCAGTGCCTGCAACAAGTGCCTTGTTAGTAAACCTTGTTGTAAATAAGCAGCAGGAAAATGAGGTCCATGAGGCGGTGCAAACACCTTTGACAAAGAAGGCATGTCCTAATAATGATATCCTTGATGATCATCACCGTTGTCTTGTCTCTGGAAATCTTTCTGCGAAGCAACAAAGTGAGATTCATGAGGCAGTGGAAGCAGCACCTTTAACAAACCCGACAAGTCAGGGCAATGAAATTGTTAATGATGACCATAGTCTTGCCTCGGAAAATGTTGCAAAAAATCAACGAGAAAATGATGTTCGCGATGCAGTGCATGTAGCACCTTTAACAAACCAAACATTTCCTGACAATAAAATCATTGATGATGTCCATCAACTTGTTTTGGACAATGTTGTGAAGAAGCAACAAGAAATTGGGGTTCATGAGACATTAAAAGCAGTGCCTTTGAGAAACCAGGCATGTCCTGAGAATGAAATCCTTGATGATTAGCGCATGAAGAGGAATTGGGCTAGTGTTAAAAAAGGACAAGCGCAAGAGAAACAAAATAAAGTAGGTATGATGATATTAGTTATCTCTTCACTGGTCGGTTCTTTGCTGAGCAATACGAAACACTCCAACAAAGATTCCAACTTTGAATCATATGCAGCTGATGCTTCACAAAATTATCCTTTTTTTTTCTCCAGTCATTCTCAAAGTGAAATTGGGTTATTCGTGTTGTATGCTTTTAGCTACCTATTTCTTCAATATAATTACGTCAACCCTTTTCATTCATTCAATGACAGCCCAAAGACACATACCAAAAGTTAGTCATTTTGGTACGCTCTAAGTTTTGCAAGCCAATATAGAGCTTATGTAATGTTCGGACTATATCATTTTCAAATTTGTTGTAATTTCTCAACTTGGTAAAAATTATGTAATATCTGTCCTGATTGTTATGAAATACTTTGTAGAGAACACTTACATTCCTCAAAAGAGTCCTGCTAGGTGTACCTTGGGTGGTGTACAACCTTTGTCACAAACACCTATTGTTTGTGTGAAACACTGACAATAAGTGTTTGTGTGTGTTTGTGACAAGGGTGGTGTACACCTCGTGTACACTACCTGGGGTACACTTAGCTTGTTTCTCCTCAAAAAAAGCCCAACGTGGTACAATTTTATCTGATCATTTTCGTTTGTTGTACTTGCACTTTCCTTCAAGGCCTCCTCTCAAATTTAAGTTGTAAAATCATGAAGTAAAATAGAGTATTGGTGTCGCTACTTTTAGATGTGAACAGTTTGTGAAAATTATTCGGAAATTTGTCTCTAATAATCCAAACTTTGTACTTTACATAATTTGAACATCAATTCAGTCATAAATTGATACGGATTGTGAGCTTTAATACGCTCATTCATTTATGCCGTGCGGATTAATATTGCTATCCCTTTTTCGTAGCTTTCATATCCACCAACATAGTTGATGGGTTATTGGAGCATCTGACTTCGGCCCGCCAATATCATCAGCCCAGTGGACCTTCAAACCTATTTTCTTTTTCTAGGGGCAATTACACCCGACTTAAGCCAGTTAATTAGTCCTCGCCTTTCTCATAATTGACTGTGTAATTGTAGATGGAGTGGGATTGCTTGGCTTTGCATCAAAGGTGGAAAGAAACCAGACCATGACTGAACTACTATCTTTAGCACTTCCCTTGTATGAGTCGAACATTGCAGCTATAAATAGAGGCGATACACCATTGTAAATCTCAAGCTCAATACAACGTCAATACTAGCACCATTCTTCGTGTTCTCAAGTTATGTACTTTTCTTATTATTGCTATTCTCATTTTGTAAATCAATTCGCCTTTTCGGGTCAAATCTTTTGGTGGAATTTTTTTCCCATCAATTTGGTGTTCTCATTGAGAGCTTGAGAAGCTTTTCTCGAGTTTACCTCTTGCTTAAACTAGCAAAATGATGCAGACATGAAGCAACACTAACCAACCTACCAGCAATCAACATCCAGAAGCTGAAGGCAGCGGGGTCACCGGTGGTTGCCAAATACCGATATTGAGGCAGAGTGTCTCATCCAGCTATTCGATATCTCATTAAGCAATTCAAGGCTGCCATTGCTGCCCTCACAGAAGGTGCACACAATGTCATTATGACACGTGTTCCAATGAGCGGTGAGGTGAGGCCTGAAGGCTCTGCGGACAAGAACAAGAAGAAAACACGGCGGTCTTAGAAGTAGAAGGCGACCAAAGTCAATGGGAAGGCTCCGATGGATGAGGACTTAGCCCCAACTGACAAGGAAGAATTCCTCGTATGAGTGTATCTTCGCCTTTGACAGGCTGGAGAAACCTAAACAAAAGAAGCGTAGGGTGTTTGCGTTTGATCATTTAGACGATGGTCAGTCATCTCAATGTGAAGATCTAAGGGAAAGGATCAATGACTGACGTCCTCGGTGACCTCTCGTGCCCAAATGCATACACGGAGACGGGCAACCTCCCCCAACCAATAAGAACGGAAGGTGGACGACCTGTGCAAGGTGGTGGGGGAGCTGATGAAAAGGGTGGATGCCAAGAATCCGTACTACCAGGTAATCCTAGATAAGGTAACTCCCATCTCTTAGAGAGTTATGTCATGCCACCTTCTTGTGAATTTCAAGGCTCCACAGGTCAAGGTGTAAAATGGAATCGATGATTAATCCACATGATCATCTATCCCGATTTAGAGCTAATGTGGTTATGCTGGCCTACAAAGGAGATCAACTGTCGTTGTTTCCTGTCGATTTTAGAGGGCCAGGCGTATAAATGGTTCGATAAGTTGCCAGAGGGATCCGTTGATAAGTGGAAGGATCTTGCAAACAAGTTCCTAGAGAATTCCGCGGCAAGCTGCCACAAAAAACTTCCCTACTCCCATTTGTTGAACGTCAACATTCGAGCAGGAGAATGGCTCTAACATTTCAAATCTCGGTGGGAGAAGCAAGGGACGTCTAAGTCGCGGATGAATAGGCGCTGATCACCATGCTCCAAGCAGCACTCCCCCAAAGTGATGTGCACATGGAGTTTAGGAGGAATCCACTCCCAACTTATCAGGAGATGTTGGCAAGGGCCAAATATCTAGCCCTTGAGGAAGATGATGAGAAGCATCTAGACGAAGCCCTGAAAGGCAAGAAGGTTCCCCTGACTGCTAGGGAGCTAAAGAACAAGAAGAAGAAGGACTATACCAAAGGTCATAACCAATTAGGGTACCAGGCGAGTCGGGTGACCATCCATACCATCAAAAATGTTCCCATTTCATTCCAGCTCTGGGAAAGCTTCAGCGTTCAAGCTTTGGGTAAATAATGTGAGTACCACTGTAATAACACCCAAATTACAATGGAGTGCATTACATTGAAGAGGGAGATGGAATAATTGATTGCCAGGGGACTAACCCCCGAGCAGATCGACGGACTCTCCCGGCTCTACAAGGACGTACATGGAGGAAACCACCAACAGAGCCGGTGGTGATCACAAATGGAGACGATCGAGACAAAGGTAAGAGAAACTTGGGGTGAGAGTGTGACAATCTTGATGAAGAAAAAACGCACAATCGGTGGCATTGGGGCTGTCGTTTCAAAATGGGTACAAACATTAGTGGAGATTCTATTTCTATGTGGAAGAAATGGAAGAACATGATGCAGTTGGTGGAAATTCAAAGGCCTCAAATCCCAAAGAAGGAGAAGAGGGAGCCAATAATCATGTTCATCGACGATGACTATCCCCCTATGGTAAGCCACACAGAGATGCCCTTGTTATAAGGGTGGAGATCAATAAAGTTCTAGTTCACCAAACCCCAAGGCGACCTGCCGGGCGATCGCCCCAGACCCCACCCCGGAGATTCCTATGCCTATATAAGGCAGCGTCGTTCAGCCTTCAACACCATCATCTCTTCTTCATTTTTCCTCTCTCTCAAGTGGCGATTTAAGCCCAAGTTAGCATAGTTTTAGTTTATTTTGGAGTTTCAGTTCATGTTCTATTCCTATTCCGCTTCTCTGGAAGTTGTAAGTTTCTTTAATTAATAATATAAACATATTCTGTTATTTAATTTGTGTACTTTTTATTATGAATATGTCTTTTTAAATATATTAGGGATGTGAATTGAAATTAGGGTAGTAGGAATGTAGGAGAAATAACTATGTTGGAATATTAAATTTAATTAATTAAAATGTTATGTTAGTAGTAATTGTTATATGTTCTAATTAATCAATCTGGCCAATTTATTAGTAATCTTAAAAAAATTATTATGTTCATTTGTCTATGAATGAGAAAAATAATTTAGTCAATCAATTTTAGCACATTAATGATGCCTAGAGATAGGATAAAATTAATGGAGTTATTGTGACAGAATTACTCACTAGCTAAATTAATTAGTTAATTTAATAATCCAACTAGTTAAAACATCTAAAATATTCCTACTACCTGAAATCAATTCATATTCCCTTTTTGTCAAACAGTCATTTTATTACTTTGTCCAACTCATTTTCAAATCCAAACCACAAATACCTTTCGAATTTAGAAGGCTTCCAACAGCGATGAGTAAAACTTTGTCTAACTATATTTTAATAGAAAAATTATTTTTACGCCAATCCACGTGAATACGACACAAGAATAAATGGAACTCTTTTAGAGTAAAATTTACTACCGTTAAAACTCTTTTCGTCAGGAGTTCCACCCATCGCTGTACAAGCCTTGGTTCAACATTAACACAAGGCAGAATGCCCCTACCCAGCGATGGGGTCTTGTACACATCACTGGTCACCCAGCAATGGGAGGGTATACCCATCGCTGGTTAGGCATGACCGTTGGAAGACATTTAAGCCTGATTCTTTCCTTTTTTGAAAGCCAAATTGTGTGAAGTTTGAGTTGTTCTTGAGCGTGTATGTTTTACTCAACATCTACTCTTAAAGAGAGTCTTGTTCTTGAGTGTATTAGTTTTCTAAGACACATTGAGAGAAAGTATTTCTCTCGTTTGATTCGAAGGAAGGGTTGTTTCCTTCGAAGGACTTGTTGAGGTTCGTGTATCTCGAATTCTCAAGTTGTAAGGGTTTGTTAAGCACCGTTAAGCTTAGCGAGGATTAGTGTAACTCGAGAAAGTCTCTCGGGAGGCGGGACGTAGCCACACGTTGTGGTGAACCAGGGTAAAATCGGTGTGCCTCTTACTCTTCTCTTTACTTTTCTTTTAAATTTTTTATTCCTGCAATTTCTGTGATCAAACACTATTCACCCCCTCTAGCGTTGGTCACTTATTCTAACAATTGGTATCAGAGCCTATCTCACATCCAAACATAACCGTTTGAGAGAAAAGCGATCATGTGTTCTTCTTCTAGAAATATTTATGCAGGGATTGGAGAAGGTCAATCAACTTCTAGGCCACCGCTCTTCGATGGCACTAACTACACGTATTGGAAAGAGCAGATGAGAATCTATATCCGCTTAACCAACTTCCAATTGTGGTTGGTCATCAAGAATGGCGAAGAGACGCCAATGAAGAAGGTTGGGGAGACACTCGTCCTAAAGACCGAGGACAAGTTTGATGCTGAATACATCAAGAAAGTAGAGAATATACACAAAGGCTATTAACATTCTCTACTGCGCGGTCAACCCTAACAGTTATCGTAAGATCTGCTGCACAACCGCTAAAGAGATGTGGGACAAGCTTGAGGTAACATAAGAAGGTACGGACCAAGTTCGGGAAGCCAAAATTGACTTTTTTACGCAGGAGTACGAGATGTTCAGGATGAAGGAAGGCGAGAAGATCGACGACATGTTCGATCGCTTCTCAAAGATCATCAATGATCTTCACGCCCTCAAGAAGACGTAAGCCAACAAGAACCTTGTGAGGAAAATCCTACGGAGCCTCACCCCCGAATGGAGATCAAAGGCCAACGCCATCTATGAATCTATTGGAGTCTCCAACGTCACCATCGACGAATTAAGAGGTAATCTTAAAACTTATGAATCTACTATTCTAACCCCGTCTTTGGATGAACAAAAGAAGAAGGGGATAGCGCTCAAAGCAACCAAGGAAACGGTTGAAGAGGAATCAAGTGATGAAGACAACGAGTTTGGCCTCATCATCAAGAAATTCCACAAATTTATGAAGAAAGAGCACGAGTGCAAAGGAAAGAAGCACGACGGTCCCCCAAAGTGCTATGGATGTGGCGAGATCGGTCACATCAAATCAAGATGTTCAAAAGCCAAGAACGCCAAGGACAAACGTGGGCTCAAGAAGCAACGGGCATACATCTCTTGGGGAGGAGACTCCGGTGATGAGTCAAGCGAGCAAGAGTAAGACGAAGAAGCAAACCTTTGTCTCATGGATCAAGAAGAAGAGGAGTCATCCAACAACAAAAACCAAGAGGTATGTATTTCTTCTACCGATTCTCTTATTCTTTTGAAGAAATGCAAGAAGCTCTTCAAGAGCTTTATGACGAGTTTGTTAGCGCTTCTAAAACCAACAAAGTTTTCAAGAAACGTTTTTCTAATCTTGAAACTGAACTTGAACAACTTCAAAAGGAAAAGAAAAAACTAAAAGAGGAAAATAAATTTTATGGTAAAAGAAGCGCTGACAAACCCGAGAGCTCTACGAATAATTGTGACTGTTGCATAGCTTTGAAAGAACAAATTGCTAAACTAGAAAACATGGCAAAGAAATTTAATAAACCACATAAGGACCTTAATCTTGTTTTTGATTCTATTTAATACATTAAAGAAGGAATAGGGTTTGGTAAAATTGATGAATCTGAAAATAAAGAAAAAGTTGAGCGCAAACGTAAACCACCTAGAGCTCAACCTAAGAAAGATAAAAATAAAAATAATAGAGAACCTAGAAATGATAGAAAACCTGTAGAGTCTAGGAACAGTAGAGAACATAGACAACCTAGACAAAAGGTTAGTTATGAACATGACCATTCTAGGCAACCTAGGAGGAATTATCAAAATGATTTTATGCACAATTTTTTTTTCAAATAGACAAAATAATGTTAGGGCACCTAAAAAAGAGATTTTTCAAAATACTCAAAAATAAGCTTTTTCTCAAAATAGGATGAACTCCCTTAGTAGTTATTATCAACCTAGGGGAATGTGCAACCCTAACGTAGTTTTCAATTATTGCAATAGGGTAGGACATATAGCTCTCGTTTGCTTTATAGACATAGGCATTGGACTCAAAACGAAACACACTACCACTTTGCACCTAACACTCAAGGACCCAAAAAGACTTGGGTACCTAAATCTTATTAAACCATTTTTGTAGGTGTGCTTGAAAGCATCAAGTGTACATTGGTACCTTGATAGTGGATGCTCAAAGCACATGACGGGTGATGCATCAAAGTTTCAACAAATAAAGCCCGCTAAAGGAGGCAACGTCGTCTTCGGTGACTGATGTCTCCTGGTCACCACTAACGATTCTCAAGTCCTTAAACAAATCAACGGAATAATGGCTAAATGTTATGATCCCTTTTGGAATGAATTCATCACCACTAAACCATACACCCTAGCCATAATATCCTTGAACCCTACCCCACCCTAGGGCCGAACCAACCCTAACCCAAAACCCAAACATCCAAATCAGCCCTAAACCCCTTAATCTCCTTTTTCTCCTCCCTTTTCTCCCCTTGGCCGAAATTCACAACCCCAACACACGCCACCATTATTTTCTTCATTGAACTCAATCCTTAAGGCCAAGAAAACCTGCCCCCACACTAAAACAATTCAGCCCCCCCCCCCCATTCCCTCCATTAAAGGACCAAAACTACATGCCAAAACCTCCCTTCTAACCCATGCCATATGCCCCCTCTTGTTCCCCAACTAGGCTGACCAAACACCCATTAAAATCCA